TTAAATCTGAATAACGGCAAATAAGTGCAAATTTAAAAAATCATTGTTTGGAAGTGAGCCTTGTTTGGAAGATTTTATTTTTAACGCAGAAGAAAGACACCGATGTTTCATGCTGTATTTCATAACCATAAATTATTAATGTACTATTTATAATATTTTTTACTTATTTTAACCTTAATTAGTACAAAATAATGAAAAAAGTATGAACATAATGTTTAATAAAAGTGCTAACAAATCACATCAAGTTAGAAGCTCGTTGTATTTTCAGCTGTCATTATGAATCCTTGAGGTTACTTTTAAATTTCATTTGCAATGCACGCATGAAACATATTTCTGAATTTAAAAAGTTAAAATTTGAAAATGTCTATTTCAGAAATCAAAGCGACGTATATGCAGAGAAACCCATAGAAAATGTTCAGAGTATTATATTATTTGTCGTATTGGGCAATGTTTCCCAAACTTATGACTTTTGTGTACCCTTTCTAAATTTTTCCTAACGCTGTGTACCACTAATAGAAAAATAAATGTATTTTTTACTATAAAAAATGGACAAAAATTAAAAGTCACAACTGGCTGTTGACGCTACTAATTATTAACTGTTAACTCTGAAAGAAATAGCCAATAGAAAAATACGTAGTCATAAATTTTCATGGCTAGCTTTGTTTTTAAATAGCCTATTTTGAAATTTTCGTTTTTTTGCAAGATATTTTGCACAAGAACGCATACCCACGCTGAACTGTTCCCGTTCCCACTGAGGTACGCTTACCACACTTTGGGAAACACTGGTATAGGGGAGCAATACTGAATCGACTAGAACCGAACGAAGTAAATAAAAAAAAGGGGTTATCAAATCAGTGATTAAAATTTTGTGTTTTATTTTTCTATGAAGGAATATTGTTTGTGCCTGAACTTTTGCAGCAGTTAAAATTTGTAAAAATGTGAAATTTTTTTTTAGGTATTATTTTTGTTTACTGTTCTTTTTTGTTTTAAATTTTTTTTTTATCAATATCTTACACCTTCAGTCAAATTATTAGAAAGAAATATGCATTATTTTAGATTTTATAGAAAAATTTAATGTGTTCCTTAACTTATGTAGCATATAGACGTCATCCTCCGAACTGACGTTTCACGTTTTTTTACTGTATGGTATGGCATTATTTTGTTAATATGATATTTCAATAATGGTAAAAGGAGAAAGAAAAAATTTGATAAGCAGCTATTGTGGATTCTTTTTCATAACAACAAATGAACTGGATAACGCCCTTAAATTTGACAGTTAAACTGCCAAATTTAAAGGCATTATCCGGTGATTGAACTATGGTTATTATTAGCATAAAAAATTCTGATTTTTAATGTGCTATTAATGTAACTTTATTTATCATTAGAGACAGAGAGAGTTGATTCAACCCGGAATAGCTGTTATTTATATACATATATGTATATAACTATGAAAGTTAGATTTTAATTGCTTTAAAAAATAGAATTTCTTGTTTTGTTTTTAACAAGGAAGCTGTCATATATTTCAAAGCGCTTATAATAATCTGGAGCTTTTCCTATTTTATTTTCCAACTGAAAGACGGATGTCAAGTTATTTCAACTTTTAAAAATAGCAGAAGAATTAGGAAATAAATGGAGGAGAAAAGAATACGGAACTCGAGTACTCTAATGCAGGTAATCAAAGGTACTGTTTTTTATTTTTTTAGAAAAAGTTTCTTCCATAATTGCGAATTAAATTTTCTCACAATCGCTTTCCATTGAAAAAAAAAAAGAATTTTTTTGGCGCAATTAAAAGTAATTAGTTCAATAAGATGTTGAATTTGGAATAGAATAAGAGGTGAAGGAACATTAAAAGCGGGCTGAATATAAGTAGTTATTAGAAAATACTTTTTTCTTCTTCCTTAATTTAAAATGAATGAAGTTAATTTTACGTCAACTGAAAATCTTAGTTTGATTTAGAATGCTTTTTCGTCAATCCGATTGTACGTTAATTTTGAATAGAAAATTTTGCTTTCAATTGAAGCTTTAGTTTTATAGATTAGTGTTTTTTAATACTTAAATTTTTTTTTATTATGTATTTATTTGAAAAAATTTTAATAACTATTACGACCTAATTAAAGAATAATCAAATATCTTTCATATTTTGTGGAAGAAACTTGTGGAAAAAAAAGTCATATTTTGTAGTGCCTTAACATAGGAAACTACATGTTGGCAAATATTTCATGAAACTATTTGAAATTTCAAAGGTTTTTATTTCACATTAATTTTAGGAATTAAGTTCCCTTACAAATACAACACATTTTACGAATATAATATATTACACACACATATAAATAATTTACAAATGCAGTTTCGTTTAATTTACAAATATATTTTGATTGATAGAAATTAACTAGAAATGTTTTGCCTTTTCGATATTTTTTTTTATATTTCTTTGTATTTTTCCCAATTGCGGCCATCTTGTTCAAACGTTACACATCTTTTAAACCATTTCCGATGTATAATTGCTAGCCTATAATAATTATTATCCTATAAATTATCTTGATATATGTTGTTTTATTTCAAACTTAAGTTGAAAAGTAAAAATGTGCGATTGCAAAAAAAAATCGCCTAATTGTATTCTTTTTCTTACTTTAATCCTAACCAACTAAATATTCGTTTGATTCGTCTTCCAACTAGTGTCAGTTTTTCGAAGTCGAATCGTATAACAGTTTAACCTTGTCATAGATTTTAAACGTTAAATTTTGCTATTTATCCATATTTAAATGCGTACTAAAGAGTATTCCCCTTATGTTAAGCTAAATTGTTTGCCCTGTATTCTTTTATGGATGAAAGTGAAACTTTCACCATTTTGAAAAATACTGTTTCGAGTGTAGTAAGTGTTTGTTGCTTTATTGAATAATTGATTACCGGAACTAGTCAGATTCAATTTCAGAATTGGTACAAGCTTTTTTAAATTTTTTTAAAAAAAAAATCAAGTAAAATTTAAAAAAAAATCGAACATTTGGCTGCCCGATGAGTTTTTAATACATTTTGACTACCCTAAACAATTAGACAAAATGTCTCTTTATGTTAAAAAAATTGTAAGCATTGCCTACGCTACTGTTTTGGGTGTTCTATAGTTTGTCTAAAGTAAGAATTCCTCTAGCCATTCGTCTGGACCCGTGGCGGTGACTATCAACGATGTATAACTATTTCAAGTAAAGGGGTGGGGTCGGTGTAAAAAAGGGAATCTTTTTCTTCCGTCTATTGTGTTAGCCCTAGAAAGAAGAGACGCTACTCTCCCTGAAATTCGCTATTCTTGTTTCCATAGCAACAGACAGCCTCAGACTTTGTGGCGGGAGGTGTTCTTACCGTAGACAAACTATACTTAATGTTACATTTTGTTTCACTGTGCAAATGCTATTAGAAACTTAAAATTGCGAAGGTGTATGAAAACGTAAAAGGAAGTACGTTATAATAATTAAAAAAAACAGCATTTGTTAATAAGTTGGAGAATTATTAATTGTTAAACTTGTATTAAAAATGCCATGCGTTTCGCAATATAGACCGCAGAAATGCAACTACAGAGTTGAAATTCGACGTGCTGAAGGAGCCATATTGTCAAAGAACTCAACTCGATTTCCTTTTAAATTCCAATTTAGGAGTTATTGATGACTTATTGAAATTTTAAGTGCTTTTTATAACTTTTTTCCTCTTTACATTACATTTTGTTTTCCCGAGCAAAAACAATAAAGACTTACAAACCTGAAATCACGTTAAGTTGTAGAAAAATACGCAGGGAGTATGACGGAATGAAACAAAATTAAGATTTGATAATTATTTCTAGAATTATTAATTGTTAAACCTGTAGTAAAAAATACCATGTGAGTCAATCCACTGCCCTCTGAAACGCAATTTAGGAGTTGAGTTTCAACATGGTGAAAGAGCCCTTTTTATATGTTAACTTAACGCGAATTTTTATTTATTTATTATTATTTTTCTATTTCTATTCTAATTTATTTGAAAGTTACTGGAATTTTAAGTGTTTTGTTTTCTTGAATTTTTTCCCAATCTCCTTATTTTATTGACTTTTTATCAATTGATGTAGAAAAATCTATTTATCTATATTTAGACCTATTATTATCTCTCTTTTATGTGAAAAAAGCGAGACTTTAATATTTATATTGAAATTTTTGAAAATAAAAAAAACTTAACACAGGAGAGACAAACATCATTCCTTATTTGAATGTTATAAGTCTCATTAACGAGAAAAATTACATATCATTTATTTCTTCTTATTGATTCGTTCTATCTGTATTCCTTAAATTTTTTTTTTCAAGCACAGATGGTTATTTTTCAAGTCCAGGTAATCGTTCATTTCTTTACAATTAACAAAATGGCAAAATGCTCTTATTTAAAACTACAATAGTTGTATATTTTGTTAACAAAAATATACTGAGTTTTGGAAAATATTGACTACTTTTTAGGTAAAAAACACAAAAACAATCATGAATGTGACGTAATTACAGGGGTTGGTGAGTGGTGCGATCAGGGGCAGAAAACCCCTAGTGTATTTGAAGAAAAACTGCTAATTTTGTATTTTTAACTTTCACACTTTTGTCTACATTTATTATAAATTTTTGAGTACGTAATATCATAATTATAATAAGCTCAGAGATACCGTATATTCATAAATTGGTATTAGCACTTTTTGACATATTTTTATTATTAAGATATATTTTTCACGACTTTCTGGTTGCAAATAAGATTTGTTGAAAGAAGTCTTCTTAATGTGCGAATTTCAAGTAATAACCAAGTGCCATTGCTTGCAGATGAAATGTGTAACGATATTTCAAATTATTTTACTATAAAACGGAGTTTTTTAAATTTTTTCTGAGATCTTTAAACCTGATACTTAGTTTTCAATGAAAAAAAAAAGCAATTCATTGCTTAATTAAAAATATAAATAGTCTTTTATTTACAATTCAGATTTTAGTACAATTAAAAAAATATTTTGTAACTTACAAAACGTAGTGAAATCCATTTGTAACAAAAGGTAGGGTATGAGGAAAAGATAATAGTGGCAAGGTAATCGGAATTCTGTAAAATCCGAACGGATATATTGGTGGGTGTAGGATTTTAATACCTGCTTCATTGAGACTTCTGACCAAAGATGTTACCTCTTTTACACCTCCGTTTGATCTGTCTTCAAGCAACAAGTGAAGTGAATCAGTGCTTTCTGTTTCATTCTTCTCCTCTGAAGTGCCATTTTCTGAAATGTTCCCATTTCCTGTTGTTGGACTTTCGACATTGTAAATAAGATCTGATTGAGCTTCTTGGATATTAGATAATGGAATCAAATGGATTTCGTCCGAAGAATAAACTGGAACAGAATCATTTTCTTGAAAATTATAAACTGGAACTGATTCATTTTCTTGAACTGTATAAACTGGAACTGATTCACTTTCCTGAACTGTGTAAACTGGAGCGGATTCGTTTTCTTGAACTGTGTAAACTGGAACTGATTCATTTTCTTGTACTGTATAAACTGGAACAGATAGACTCTCTTGCACAGTAAAAACGGGAACTGACTGAGGTTTCAGAGTACTTTCTGCATCAGACTGAGATTCTTCGTAAGCAGTTGTTGAAACTTGGGGTTCATTTTTAACGAATTCCATGATGTTTTCATTTGAGTTACCTAAATCTTGTTTTCTCAATGAAGGTTTCAATTCATATTTCGATAAAAACTGTGGAATAATATCTCCGAAAGCCTGGAAGCCAGTTTCAGGGGCAGATCTGTATCTGATTGTACGCAGAATCCCACTTGGATCCTTGTACTGGTATTTCCCGGTAACATGTCCTGGAGCATTGGACACTTCACTTCTAGAGTGTGCTCCAGTATCTCCAGTATTGAAGGCAAATTTATATTTATTGTAGACGGTTTCAGTTTCTGAATAGCCAAATTTTGACAGACCAAGTATTAGCAGACAGGCAAAAAGGACCTACAAGTAATGAGGAAAATATAGCAGCTATAGAAATGGCAAAATTTTTAATTTTAGTAATTATCATTCTTTTTAGACTATTAAATTTTTCAACGGAAAAAATGCTAACAAATAAATTTGAAAATTATTGATTTAAATTATTTACGAGTGCATGCCTTAAGTTAAGTATATCATTGACAAGTCAGTTTATTTGACTTTCTCTTAACTTCGCATAATATAAGTGCTATTTATATTGATAGAATAGTGCAACTATTATTTTCAGACATAATAACCAAGGTATAAAGCCCCAAATCCCAGTTATGCCCTTGCGTTTCTCTTTAAGGGAATTAATTCTAGAAATCCACACAAATTGAAATTGGAAACACATTAAATTATCGTTTAAATCTAGCCAGATTGTTTGTGGTTCGTGTTTAATAGTTAAGTGAGTTGGGTTGCGTCATTCGAGGTAACTTAAGCCTATAAAGCCATTTTGCTGGGAAAATTTTGAGCGTTAATTTTATCAACACTGTTTTGAATTTGATTGTTCGCTTGTTTTTAAATGTGTTTTCTTTTTAAACCTTCAGCTACTAAGACAATTTTATCATAAATTTATACGTTTTATTCCTTATAATTTAAATTTCATATTTTTTTTAAGTATGGGGTAAAAAACGGTTTAAAAATTATAAATGTGAATATTGCAATGTGTTTACCGTATAGCATTCCACAATCAATAAATGACGCTATACGTTTTCATTAGAATTTTTTAATTAGACTTTTCATAAGATCTTGAACTTTTTAGTATAAATTAAATGTCTAAGGCACTAAAAATGTAAATAAAATGTTTTTAAAATTTTATGTTAAACTAAATAAATGTTTTAAACAGTATATATACATTTATTTTAGACTTTTGTTACCCCCATCACGAACTAACATAAGCCAAATGCTGAATTTCTACTGATGGCTTTAGTTATCACATATTGAGGGATTATTTAAAATACCATGTGTTGTTATATTAGTCTTCAATCGACATATTTTAGAAATTTTATATACATTTAAACATAAAGTGTAACTGTAGTTCCGAGTTATACAATTTATGACTAAAGTATTTGGCAGATCATTTAAATTATAAAGTGGCGTTAGTTATCTCGATAGTAGTAAGTAATATATGTTTATTTTCTTGTTTGAAGTTATCAAGTGAGTACCAGAATACAAAAAATATTTCAAAAATTAATTAAATCAAAAGAGAATTCTTCCCACTTCCAGTTTATTGTAACAACTTATTGCTTGATTTGAATTGCATAAATAAAGTTGTTGGTAGTCTGATGTGATTGCCGACGAATGTGAATGAAACATAATTGTGGAGGAATACTGTGAGCAACACCTTTAATATTTGATAATGTAAACGCGTTATTTACTTCATGAATTTTAAAAACGAAAAAAGTCGACTTGTATTGAGTGCTCAAAAATAGGCTTAGACGTAGCGTTTGTGACGTTAATCAGTTTAATTTGAAAATAAAATCCATCATTTCTCATATTAAAAAAAAAAGAAACTAATACAGACAAAATCTCACTCTCTTTAAGATAAAATATAATTTTTGTTGAAAAAATAATGTATTTTTGTCAGACCTAGCAAAAGGAAAAAAGTTTATGCTTGTTGTACTTGGACCAGTTTTTGTGAATCACTTAGAACTGGTCCTTCATCTGTGTAACAGATCCAATTCGCACAAATCTATTTTGATGGACTTTGCACTCATAAGGTGTTAAAATATTCCAAAAAAATATTATTTGGTGCAACGTTCATGATTAATATGATTTGCTTTATCTTGTGCACGCTAAAATAAAAACAATGTTTTATAAATATATGTTACTAAATATTGATTAGGTAATATATGTTAATAAAAATTGAAAAAATATGTTTCAATTACATGGATATTCTAAATCAATAAACGAGCAAAATGAGGGTTATCTGAGGGGCCAAAATGACATTCAATGGTTCTTGGTACATGTTGTACTTGGGTTTCTTACTTAAAAATATTCTGTTTAATTGTATAATGCATGGTGCGTAGCTTTTTTAAAAAGTGCTTAAAGGTGCTTATTTTCGTTTTTTAAAAGCCCTTAAAGGTGCTTTTTTTATTGGGTGTTTATAAAAAGTGCTTAATTTTCTCTTTTCGAAAATGAGATTTATGAAAGGGAATGTCGATTTTCGCCACATATTGTGTAAAAACGTGTTTTTCATATTTTTCTACTCAACGTTTTCAGAATTCATTCATCCACAATCAATTTCAGAGTACCGTTAGTCCATAGCTTATGAAAACGCCAATCATTTTACAGGTCTGGGGAAATACTTGCGTGACAGCATGCGTGTCTAGTGAGCTGGGTTCGGTGAGATTCTTGCACTCTCATGTGCAACTCTGCTGCATTTTGCAAAATATTCTCAATATCCAGCTTCATATTCCACCCTCTGAAATCGAACTGAAAAATCTCTTGATCATTTTTTAATGGCTAATATAATCAAGAATAGAGTTCTTTGTCAAAATCTAGTTATTTTATCATGATCATGTGAAGTCTTTGAAAACTATTTTGCATTTTGTTAATGCACATAGTGCTTAAAAATATTTTTTGAGTGTCCCTGTAATAGTATTCGTTTAAAAAATTAAATAGAAAAAAAAGTAAAAATTTCTGAATTATTTGTTACATTATTCGTTACATTATTCTAAATTATTTGTTATTTCTGCTTTAAAATTCGTCTTAGTCTTTCGTACAAAATTCTTTCTTATTCTTAATCAAGGGGGAAATTTTAATGTGTAGTATTTAAGTTAGTACAGTCAAAGTGGATAGTGTTTTTTTTTAAAGTTTATATTAATATTTATAAACTAGTAATCCTTTTAGAAAGGTTGTCACGTTTTACACTGTTTCCTGATATAAAAATGTTGCTAAAAATGTACTAAATGCAACTTAAATGGATATTTTTACGGCGTCATTATATTTTTCTCTTTTTAAAATCTGTAATAACCCGGATTTTCTCAGTAATGTCAACTGTAACGGTTTAATTATACTTTTTGGAAAAACATAGAAATTTATTATTTAGTGAATTATCATTTCTACTACTGACTCCATTCTTTTGCCTTTCGTTAAAAGCAAAGAAGAGAGAAAAAGCATCCGATGAAAGAAATGAGTTTTCCCGGAAATATTTCTAGCATTTACTAATACTAAAACTATTGTAACAATTTTTGTAATGTATATGGTTAGCGAACAAAGCTTTTACATTTTGGAACAATGAATTATTCATATTAACATTTTGTTTGAAAAGCGCTTACAAGCATTTCTACGTTGTTTGTTATCTGATGAATTGAAAGCGAAAAGGAATTATAGATAGTGTAGTATATTAAATAATATTTCTTTAAAACGTTCATTTTTAAATCTTTCGCTTTCTTTTCTTTTTCTTCTAAAAATGATTAACAAATATTGAGGATCACATGCATTAAAGTAAAGCAATTTATCCACTTTTCAATTAAATGTATATGCTGTCACTTCATTTTTACTTTTTAATTGCAAATGTAATCAAAAACTTTTATCAGAGAAAATTATTTATGATTTTCAGACAGTATCAAAACAAAAATGAGACTATCCAAAAATATAAAAGTACAAAAAATGAAATGAATTTTAATATGTTACTGAATTATCTTGAAAAATTATCGATACTATTTCGCGTCGAGCATAACAGTATGAATTTTTAGTTAAACAGTTAAAAAAATTCGAAACTAAAATTGATCTTTACCGTCAAAAGAAAAAAAAATCTAAAAACATTAAGCCCAAAAAATCTCGGTGTAAAAATTCAAAAGGATGAACAACCGTAAACAGGTTTATGATGTGAAAATATATAGGTATAATAAAATGATACAAAAAGGAATTGAAATATAATTTACCTTCATTTCGAAGAGAAGTGGATTTGAAGAGAAAGAAATGAAACTGAATACTGCGTGAGATAATGGATTGCTATAATCTCCACAACCTTTATATACTGCTCTCGATCGCTTGTTGCGTTCTGGAATAAGTAACCTTCGCATACCTGGATTGCGTGAAGACATGTATCATTCCATAAACACAATTTTAAATCAAAAAAATGTTTAAAATCTTTTTATTCAATGAAAAAAAAATGTGTTTGAAATGAAGAAAAAGAAATTAAACTTGAAGCAACAAAAAAGCAATGTTTGAAACGGTTTATATTTAATCAATATTTATTATTATTTATTTTAAAAAGTTTTTAGCTCCATTTCGGTTTAAAATTTTATTAATAAATTGATAGATAAAAATATCTTATGCAAGATGCATCGTTGTTTTTTCTTAATTTATTAATAACATTGCGAGTTGAAGATTGAAAAATAAATAGATCAATTAATTATATTGTATAATTATGAGCTAATAATAACTAAAGAAAGAAAGTAACAAAAAATTGTTTGAAACAAAAGTGTAATTTAAAAGTGTTGCAGATTTTAAGAGTGTTGTATTTCGTACCAAATATAATGCTTAAATATACAGAAAACTATTAATTTGAATGTAGTAAAAGCTTATTATTAATGTTGTAGGAAACGGTTTAAATTAAAATANTATATATATATATATTTTTACAGTTTAAATTACTTAATCAGGTGTTTAGGTAAAAATATATTAATTTACGTGAATTTAAATATCACGAAGTTATAATTTAAGTAAAATAAATATTTATTTTTCATCAATGCTGTAAATATGAAACTTATAATCCGTTATTTTTAAAAAAATATTTATATTTTTTGAGTGATAATAACTGTTTTTTATTGGGAGGTCATTTTTTTAAAATTCGACGTTTATCTAATTTGCTTTTTTAGAAACATAACAGAATTTAGAATATTGTCTTAAAATTATTATAACTGATAGTTTATAACTAGTTAGAGTAAACTATATACACTATTAGAAATTTTAAAATTCGCTGAACCATGATACCAATCAAATTTGCTTCAACCAAAATACTGTATTGAACCATATTATCGCGTAAATTAATTTTTTTGAACTTAATCATATAATATGGTTAAGCTTAAACGAAAATATGGTTCAATTGAACATCTTATTAAGGTATAATTGAACATCTTATTAAGGTTACAGCCAATTTGTACCATATTATGGTACAACGTTGAATCAAGTTTTCCAAGAGCGTATATAGAATGTTTTGAACATAGTTCAATTGAACATCTTATTAAGACTAAAACTAATTTGTGCGATAGCATGGTTGAATATTAAATCAAGTTTTTATGAAAGTATACAGAATTTTTTAAACATGGTTCAGTTGAACAACTTATTAAGGTTAAAGCCAATTTGTACTATATTATGGTACAGCGTTGAATCATGTTTTCCAAGAGCGTATGTAGAATGTTTTGAACATAGTTCAATAGATCATCTTACTAAAACTAAAACTAATTTGTGCGATAGCATGGTTGAATACTAAATCAAGTTTTTATGAGAGTATACAGAATTTTTTAAACATGGTTCAGTTGAACAACTTATTAAGGTTATAGAAAATTCGTACGATAACATGATTCAACTGAATAAATATTCACATCTTGAGTTACAGCGAAAATCGAACCTACTCGGAAGAGATTTCCAGGAAAATGTTATTTATTTATTGGAACAACATGCATTTGCAAGTTTGTGTGCTCAATTAAGGGTTATAAACCTTTCTGAAATAGAAGGACAGATAACACAATACAGGGGACATCACAAAGAATACATCCAGGGTTACGGCGGGATTTGAGCCCGCCACCTCCACAAACAGAGCTTTTGACGGGCGATACTGCTCTTCCAGGGAGACTCCTAGGAAAATTATATTCCCCAGCATGGAAGTAGTCACAGTTGTAGTTTTTATTTACGTCGCACTAGAGCTGCACAATGGGCTGTTGGCGACGGTCAGGGAAACATCCTTGAGATTGATCTGAAGACACGCCATCACAATTTTGATCCTTTGCAGAGGGGATAGCCCCCCCCCGCTTTGGTACAGAGAACCGCTTTGGTACCAGCGCCCGAATTCGAGCACTTTACGGTAGAGCAGTAACGAGAAACAATACAACACACCATCGGTCCCTTTGTAGACTGATCCAAGTGGTCACCCACCCGCACACTGACCGCAGCCAGTGACGCTTGACTTCGGTGTTCTTTTGGGAACGGTGTCTTAACAAACAGTACAGTTCGGGGGATATACCTACACAGATACGAGTGTCGTTGTAAATAGGAACTGTATTATTATGATCCTAACATAAATAATCCAGGGGCCTTCCTGGCCGAGCGGTATCGCCGGTCCAAACACTCTGTTAAGCGTGGAGGTAGCGGGTTCGAATTCCGTCGTAACCCTGGATGTATTCTTTGTGATGTCTTTCTCTGAATTGTTCTATCTGTATTTTCTACTTGACAATGACTTATAAGCCTATATTGAGCACACAAGTCAGCAAATGTATGTAATTTCAATAAAATAAAAATAAACCCCTATGTCAGTTTTGTTTTTCTACTCAACGTTATACATTTTATACGTACAATTTTTAAACGTAACCATAGGGAAATAAGTTCGATGAAAATAGCTAAGAACATCCATGGATGCTAATATTTACAAGGTGAAATTTCTATGGGTAATTATGTATTGTACTATAGTTTATTTGATTTCATTAATTTCTTAAAATTTGGATCACTCTTTATTATTTTACGTCACAGTGTTTTGTACACAGCATCTATTTAGCGTTTTTCTGGTAAAATTTAAAAGTTTTATTATAAATTTTTCCATTTTTTTAAATTTGAAAACTCCTGCTGGAATTGGATGGCCTTTTGTGCCTCAAATCTTCAGTTATTCTTTCGCTTATTTATATTGTACCTTTTTGTATTTATATTGAGTGTTTATTCACATTGAACTGTTGTAGATTCATTTTATGTGTCATTTAATATTCTGATTACGAGTGATGATGACGTTTCTGATTTTTGAAATTGTTTTTATGCTAAATTAATAGTAACATTTTTGGTATTTCAGCTAACCAGTGAGTTCAATCTACAATCAGAGAAATATTGGTACAACTTTTAAACATAAAACGGTGCTAATTTTCTTTAACCTTAAGGTTATAAATTGAAATATGTAGTCAAATTTTAAAAATGTAATAATGGGATCAACTTATAGTTTCGAATTCAAACAATATTATGGTTCAACATGCTCCGAAATTTCGAATCATTTATAGATTGATAATTATCAAAACATTTTATTGTCTATTATTCCACTGCAAAATTTCATTGTTTGAAACAGTGTGATTTGATTTTACAAACTATTATTTGCTGCTGTCAAAATCTGAGTCAGTTATTGGAATCACTTATTTAGAGCAAAAAAAATTCTTGTGATATAAAATATTACAGTATTATGCTATCACTTCAATATTTTTTGTTTACTGTTCAATCTATAAAAATCGCTTTTCATCGTAGTTTCTTATAATATTAAGATAAATTACGGATTCTGAAATATAGAAGCTGTCTTATTTATCTTTCTTATTCACTCTTATTTCTTATTCAGTTCTTTTTTGCTTTCGATTTATTTTATACTTCGTTGCCATGAATTTGTTATATCATTTGAGCTTATTGCAATATCGACCTTTCTGGTTCTTGTTTTATTAATTTATGCATTCAATCTAATCTGACCCTCTGTTTTTTCTTCAGGTAATAAACAAACTGGCTTTAATACTTTTAATTCACCTTTTACTGTGATTAACGCGGATATGATGTGTAAGAATTCGGTAATTTTTTTTTCTGATTTTGTTTTGAAGTGTCTACAATTCAAAGAATGAATTGAATAAATAATAGGTTGCTTTTATAATTGTTGGACTTTGTATCATGACTAATATTTATAATCTGAAACTTTTTACGAGTTCCTAAAGAAGTTAATTTTTCAAAGGAGCTAATGCATATTGACAAATATGTTTTAGAATGCGTGTATATATATATATATATATATATANTATATATATATATATGAAATAACCGTGGAACCACACCGTTATTTTTTTAGTTATTTAGAGTCAAAGCAGCATGATTAACGAGTCCATATTCTGCATAATCTTTTTTATTTAGTTAAACGATGGTGAAATAACAGTTTCACCCCTCTCCAGACGGAGAGGGAGAGACAGAGTTACAGTCAGATCTGACGAAGTTTAGTTGGTAAACATTATACACCAAAAAAGTCACGCTAAAACATTGCTCCTCTATTTTATACGATAATTAAACTGTGTGAAGAGGTTAGTCATATTGCCTTTTTTGTGTATTCTTACGCCTCATCAAATTATTTATTACTCATAGCAAATCGTTTAATCTTTCCTTATATGGAAGTGAAAGATCTTAAAATAACTTCTCTTCTGAAGTATAAATCTAATTATTATTCATTGGCATGTTTTTAGCCTTGAAGTCCCAAAATAGAATTTCTACCCTTATCCTTTACCAAAGATATTTTATGAAAACGAATGAAGTTTTAATGCTTTTATTAATACAAAAGTATTTAATTTTTGTATTGCATCCCCCCCAAAAAAAAAGTTTTTTTGGTAAGCCAAAAAAAAAATAATAATAGTAAAATTTAGAATACTATGAATTTATAAAATTTACGTTGGTATGACTGTCCTCTTACCTACTCTTAATAACATTTTTCCAATATGTGAAAAAAGTTTTTTTCAGCAACAACAATAAAAACATAATAATGCACTTTATCTGTTTAGAATGAAAAAATGTCAGAAAGAAAAAATGAAAAATTTTATATAACTATTCTAAAAAAAATTTCAAAAATTTTCACACAAAAATATACAAAATTTTTATGCAAAACGACCTGGACAACAACTGTCATTTAATCAGAATTTACGATTCTGTATGGTTAAAAAAAAATATTCACAATTTTTATGTGAAAGAGGTGGACAACTAAGTGTCATTTAATCAGAATTTAAGATTCTGTATGGTTAATGGGGTTATTTACTTGATGAAATTCTGTTTCTGTATTCCCCGTTAAAATGGAGGAAAACAGAATTTCATGAAGCACTGAGAAATTGAGAGATCAAGACTGGATAAAACAAAAATAGTTCATAAATTGTTTTTTTTCTTTTTTTTTTCACTGTGTTGAGAAAAAAAAATTCAAGTTTCTTCGCCAAACATTTTATGAAACCGAATGAAGTTTTAATGCTTTTATTAATACAAAAGTATTTAATTTTTGTATTACATATATATATATATGCTGAGATATTTTTGTTTTTTAGAATTGTGATAAATTTTTTGAAAACAACGAGTAGTTCAGTTTTTATGAATTTATATTCTGAATTTTTTTTTTGTCCATAATTGTCGATACAAAAAATTTATTTTGCCCCAATTCAAGAAGTTTTGATGTATTGCAGGTCATCGACGTAGTTTTGGTCAATATCTGTCTTATGACAATTGATTGCCAGTCAGGCGAAAAAAAATACAAAAATAGTTGCCGAGAAAGTCCTCGTTATGATGACGATGATGACCAAGATTAAAAAGATCTTATAGCCTTTTACTATAGGTTACGTAAATCTTGTATAATAAAAACTGAGACTGGTTTGGAGGTTGAAATATTTTACAACAACGATAACACTTTGTTGATTAAAAAATTATTTCACATAATTACTCAGCAACGCCGCGATAAAATGTTATATTTTTTGAATGTTGTAACAAAACATTTTATTTTATATGTGACATTTGTTTTATAATAAACATTCTGTTTTATTAAATTTAGATTTTTTTCAGTGAAATTTTTAGATAAGATTTATTAAATATTTAAGAAAAAAATCCTTAAAACTACGATCGTGTCTTTGTCTTTCGAAATCTTTTCACAGTTCAATAAATTCTTTAATTTTTTTTCATAACCTTCGTTAAACAACCGACCCAAATTTCAGATTTCGGCTACCCAATGTTCAACTCCATAGCCTTGTAATTTTGAACCCAATCCAGATGACAAGGGAACTACTGGATCAGTACCGCTAGCTGTATTGATTTATTTCGTGAACTTGACATTCACCAGTCATCATTTAATACAAGGAGATTCTTTGGCCGACTGGATTTAAACTCCCGTTCTCTCGAACATTAGTCTTACGCCCTACCAACTAAGCTATACCAACCCTATTGTAATGCTTTGATGGTTTGAAAGCTGGAATTTATAAATAAAACCAGTTTTAAAAATAAAACCAATTTTAAAAATAAAACTAATTTTAAAACTAAAACCAGTTCTTAAAATAAAACCATGGATTATAAATTATCTCATTAAAACAGTTTGAATCAAAGAATAAAATATGGAAATTAATTTTAATCTGAAAATATCAAATGTGCAGATATTAAAAAACAACTGTGTGTGCCTTTACCAAAAAGCAGTTTTAAATAAATCATTGGATTATTTTAAATTCACTCTCTATTTTTCTCGAGGGTCTACTATATATTCTTAAAAATAAATCTGGCTGCCTTATTATGCAAAATATTTCGTTAAGGCAATGAATTAAAAAACTCAGCTTGCGTGTTAAGTATAATTAGTTCTTAATAGCAAAGAAATAATAGGATTTCAGCATTTCGAGTAATTGTTTCTTGTAAGAAATCAAAGAGATAGATTGATTTAAATTAAACCAGGAGAACTAAGTTATTTGGTAAATAAGACTCCAAAAATAGAATACGAACATAAGAAACCTTAAGCCTTTCGGGCACTTTATTTTGATGAAGGAAATCTAATTTTAGGTACACATTACAGCATTACAGATCAAAATTAATTACAGGCCCAGAATAGCCCTCAAAACTTTGTTCTCTTTCGCGAGAAATAGTTTTTAGAATCAAATTAAATGCGTATGTTATTTGAAAATATTCTAGTTGCGATTGGAAAAAAGTTTTCCCTTGTATTCTGTAAATATGATTAAAAATTCTCAGTCGAGAGCTAAAACTTACTATTTCTTTAATGTAGAAGCAAAAAATGCTGCTTTTGCAAAAAATTCTGGCTCCCACAAGAATAAAAACTGCCGATACTCAACTGAGTTTTGATAACATTTAAAATACTTACCTTTCTAAAGGTTTCGAACTTTAAATTAATGTGAATTATACAATTCAGGGGTGCTTGAGAGTTCCTTTTATACTTTTTTTTCTTTTATTTTTGAGAGATAGTTTTATTATCATTTCATATTTCTAAATTTTTTGTTGTATTTTTTTAAAAATTTCAAGTTCGATGCATCTGGCAATTGTGCACAATCAAACTATTCATTCATTCAGAATTATGAACTATTTTTTATAGTAAGAATACTTTTAAATATTCAGTTATTTAAACTCTTACTAGATATTATATTGTAGTGTGATGGGGCAGAAGTCGTGTCTGCAACCTCTAAAGTAGGGGTTTACAAATTAAGGCACACAAATAAAGTGAATTAATTTAATTTTGATTAATCAAATGATTTAATCATTTTGATTAATTATGAAAATATTTAATTTCAAAAATATATTATAGTACAGACCCTCTTGAATTCTCGATAATTTAGCCACAAATTTTTGCGGCGTAGCTATTTTTGTTATTTATGGTACATTGCATCCCGAAGCAAAAGTGTTAAAATATACTAACCAACCTAAATTATAGTCTTAAATAATGAAAGTTCTCCAGAGCGTGTCCCAAAACTATGTGAACGGACAAATTTTTCGAAAAAAATAATGCTACTAAGTAAGTAAGATGTAAAGGTTTTGATGTATTGATTATTTGATGTATTAATTTTGGCCTTTATTCTTACCCCCTGGAATTGAAGCGTGAGTAATTCCAGAAACATTAAACGGAAAACCTTTTTTTTAATTGCAGAGTACCACAGCTTGGCATACAAGTTTCTTATTTATTTTCTTTATTTATTTTGTATTTTAGTTTACACGTGACGAATTAATTTCATGCTTAAGATTGAGGCCGATTTTGGATTCAGTTATCAATTTTCCAATTCCTGATTTGTAATGACTTTTCGAAAGCAAAATCAATAAGCAAGCAATTTTCTTGACTTGATATTTTTATTTTCATTATCTTATTTTTCTTATCTTATTTACAAAATATTCCAGAGACCTTGACGGTGTTATATCACATCCTATTAGCTCTATTCGTTTAAAGGTAGTAATAGTGAAATGGGGCATGAGCATAAGGGTATGCTAAGGGGTGGTGAGCTACAGGTAGATGCACACCTGGAATAGCATACAAAGGTAAGGTAAATGGTGAGATGGGAATTTTGACTTCAGTTTTTTCAACTTCTGGTGCTTTAGGTGCTAAAGCTGCAAGTTCAGCTGCCTTTTCTGCTGTTTTCTTGTCAACGCTGATGTCTCCAGAAGCCTGAAAGCCTATTCCAGCTCCTGCTTTGTAATCCACTTTTCTCAGATCGCCATTGGGGTCGATGTAACTGTAACTGCCAGAGACGGTACCATCACCATTTGCTTTTTCTTCTCTCTTGTGGGAGCCAGCATCATCGACACTGTAGAGAAAATTGTACTTTCCATCATCATCGATTTTCATATCTGCTTCACAAGATACTGCTGCGATGAAGCAGAAGCCGATGCTTAAAATGACCTGCAAGTGAAAAAGTGTTGTAATTACAGTTGGAATGCAATAGTCAAAATCAGAATGAAAACAATGCAAGGAAGAAAAAGGAAATCAAAATAATCATGTGTTCCGCTTGAAAAAAATCACACATAAATATTTCTTCTTAATTCTACTGAAAAATACTTTTTGTAATTTTATTTAAAGTAACATTTCACGAATTACATCTCTTCTCTCTTTCTATATAAAAGCGAAAGCTTTTCTGGATGTTTGTTCGCTAATAACCCGAGAACGGAAGTACCGATTTGGGTCATTTTTAGCAGTTTTTAAATTTTAAAGGGTTGGTCTGCAAACAAAATCACTTCTTTACGGCGTTCTGTGGTTCGTGTATAGTTTGTCTAAACAAAGAACTCCTCCAACCACAAAGTCTGAGGCCGTCTGGTGCTATGGAAACAAGAATGGCGCATTTTAGGGAGGGTAGCTTTACTCTAGGATTAACATAACAGACCGAAGAAAGAGATTCCCTTTCTCTCGCCAACCCGAGCCGAAAACACTCCAAAACTATGAACCCGCTCCCCTACTTGAAATAGTCATACCTCGTTACCATAGTCACCGCCACAGATCCAGACGAATTTTAGGGGGAGTTCTTATTTTAGACAAACTATAGATACACATAACTAGAAACAAAATTCGTAATGTGCTTACTACGGTGTTCGAGTTTCAATTTCACGGAGCTTCTATTGCTATTGTTGCTTGGTGAGAGGTTAGTGACCTATTTTTAGTGATATTGATTTTAAATTTAGTGTTTTGAAGTGTTATTATTTATTGTTTTCTGCACTTTATTGCGATAAATTTTTTCTGTGAAAGTCATTATTACTAATTTTTTGAAAAAAAAGATGAGTTAATGGCTATTGCCGAGGAGTTAAAATTACCAATACCTGATAATGCTAAAATTTTTGAGTTAAGAAAATTAATATAATAAAGTGAGATTTATAAAACTGATAAAGAACCGTATAAGATTATTGTTGATTGTGTATTAGAGGAAATAAAAGAAAACGAAAATAAGCCTAAGAGATTAGAAAACGAAAATAAACTAGAAAATAAACAGTTCGGGCTCAGTATCGAAAATAAGAAGTTTCATTGATGGTAAAAACCTTTGTTATAGATTAAAATGTGCTCTGTTATGGAAACAACATTTTTACAAAATATGTAAGAAATGAAAGAAAACGGAACAACTACAAAAAATTAATGTCCTAAATTCATAGTTTATTGCAGAAGTAAAACGTGTTAGAAACAAATATGCAGGATAACATAAGTTATCGAAAATTGAAGAAATAATATATTTCACCGTTTGTGGCAATGTTTAACATAAATATGCTTATTCTTATTTATCCGTACGACATTTCAATTTCAAGGCTTTTGAATTTATCAAATTCTGATACAAAAAATTTTAATACTACTGTGGCGTAACTACCACTACGAATATTAAAACATCAATTCACTGATATATGAGACATGCTAACTTGATTCAATCAAGAGGTACCTTTTGATAGATGAAGGTTGGTATGGTCGATTACTCCGCCCCCACACTACCTGCTACTACTAATAACGAATTTTTCACGTCTTTTTTGATCACGAATTTTAAAATCTCAAACTTTGTATAATTATTCTTTAAACGAAAATATTATAAATTTTATAAAAAAAGAAATGGTACTTATCATTTATTGGTACTATGGTTCTAGGTCGGATGGTAATACAAGTTTTAATAGTTTCCTAACCATTTCTCTCAATGGTATTGCAAGTAAAATGTTTCTCACCAATAAAAATCTTGACTAACGATTTTTGATTAGCTAAAGTGCTCAAATTTCAACTTTATTTCTGGACCGAATGACGATACATGTTTCAATCATTTCATTATTATATGCTACGTAATATAATCATGTCAAATAATCACCATGTTATTATCAAATAGAAGACTCAACAAGTTTCGTTTTTTCTGTTTTTTCTCTTTGTCAGACTGGGTTTATAACACCGGATATTATTTAGACTACGTAATATTACTATATTAGTTTAACACAGAAAAGCAAACCTGCGTAACATTTTTTTTTGTATTTTGACATTATACTTTTCAAACACTTATATTCAAATAAAGCATTTACAACATTTAAAATTTTACAACTAACATTTCTAAACTTTTTATACATTGTATTTATTTTCCATAATAAATGAAAAAGTCACAGTCTTTATTATAAGAATCCTTTTTTAATAGTTTGGAATGTGAATATTTAAGCAATTATAATTGCTTTTAGAATCCGGAATATAATTAAAAAAAACTCTAAAACATTTTTTTTAACCTGACGTAATGTATTTTATTTTCTTCAATCAACTTTTTAAATATTAAATTTCGTAGTTATTAAAGACTGCTTTTTTTTCTCATTTGAGTTTTAAAAAAATTTGTTCAACTGTCGGATCCACCAGTAATAAGAACAAAACATTTAGTATTTTTTAAACATTTTTCTGCAGCGAGAATTAACAGCATGCTTTCTGCGGGTTTTTTCTCAATGCTTAGATATTTCATTTCAATATTCTGTGGCAAACTATTACATTGTATTAAATGTAATATTTAAGAAAATATTTCATTTAAATGAATGGTTTGTGGGTTTTATTTTTGAATCTCGTATATGAAAAATGATTAAACAAAAAAATATAAAAAAGTGTTACATAATAAATAAATTTTTTTAATTTAAATGGGTTACAAAAGAGCTCGGGGGCTAGATTAAAATTTGTTCAAGTAAGTTTTTCAAAATTGGTGATGAATTCTTTCTTGCGACAATGTTTGTTTGTAGTGAGCAGGAAATGATTAAAACTTATTATGTCATCCAGCGCAAAACTACAATTAAAATTTTAAAACTCAATTTATTTTGATACGATTTTTTTGATGATAATACCGCGATAAATTCAGCTTGTAATGTCTGGAAACTATTGAAACACGTATTGTTTCAATAGTTCCTTGACACTGCAAGTTTAAAATAACAAATAAATTAAACTTAAAACAGTATTAAATAATCAATAAAATGAAAAATCTTAAAAAAAGGCGTTTTTCAAATGGACAAAAAAAAGACCATTGAGCTCATACATTAAAAGTTGATTGCTTAAATGTTTCAAAAGTGGCGATAAATTCTTTTTGGCGATAATGTTCACTTGTAGTAGTCAGGAAATGATTAAAACCTATTATGTCATCCAGCATAAAATTTCAATTAAACTTTGAAATCTCAAATTATTTAGAAGCTTCATACGATTTTATTTTGCGATAATACTGCGATAAATTCAGCTCGTATATCCGGAAACTATTGAAATATGAATTATCACTCATCACAGAAATGCAATTGATATGTGAGTGCGCTAGCTATTCGAAAAACCACAATTTTGATTAACAATAACTAACAATCTAATTATAATAACAATAAAATATAACAAATTTGTTTCCAATGGTTCAAATTAAACCAAATAATTTTATTTTTATCATCCAGCATGAAATTTGAATGTTCTAGTTACGTGGAATGGGGTCTGAGTTTAATGACTGATAAATTTTTTTGGCGGTAATATTCAGGTAAATTGAATTTCTAGTGATCTAAAAACTATTAAAAAAATCTGGGGTCATTACGCATAGAGCTTTTCTAGAGACTTGTTAAGAGGTAAAAAAAATTTCCATAGTTTTAAACACGAAAGAAAATTAATAAAAACATAGTAAAAATATTAACCATACAAAAAAAAAATTAACACCATTAATCTTGAACTATAATTATAAGAAATCTTGCCCACTTTATCGTATTTAATGTAATCTAAAGGTTAAGTTTAAAAATACCAAACCACAAAACGCTAAGTTTAAAACGTGTACGAGTGTTATATGATGTCAACTGTGTTTATATGTTAACTATAAATATGTTTTCATCAGAACAAATTCATGAAAACTTTCCTTTTTTTTATTAAAAAAAACAAGGCAGTTATTCCTTACAGACATTAAAACAAAAACTTACGCTTTTACCTATATACATATACATACTTAAATATGTTATATTCATATTAGAATGCAAAAAAAAAAAATGAGTTCAGTTTTTGCCTCATTTTGAACTTCAAGTAATGCTAAAGCATAGAATGCTTTCTTCTACATAATTAATTTTTCGCGTTTTTCTACTTTAATAACTGTAAACATAACTTTTAAGTTATTAAGGATAACTGCAGGAAATTTTAAATGTCATATGCAGTTTAGTAATTTTACTTTAATTTGTTTTCAGGCAATTCGTTAAACATTTTTTGAATTTGTTAGATAATTTTTAAAAAACTTATGAAGAAAAAATACGCATTTTTGATTTTGGAAACGTGATCGAACATATTTTAAACAATAAAACCTAAAAAATAGTAAGAGTAATTTAATATATGGACATTTTTATTCTAAAGAAATAATTTATTTAGTATATATTGAAGGGTATGGTCATTCTCTGTATATATATATATATATAATAATAATAATAATTTTTATTTTTTTCGTATGGTCATTTAGTGTACTTATTGCGTGTTATTAGAATTTAGAAAAAATCATAACATTCCATGAATTTCAAAAACAAAGTTTCAAAATTTTGACCTAAACTCCTTAAAGTGATTTTTTACGGTTAATTGATGCGATATTTAACTGACAATAATAACTTGCAAGTTTTTGTTGCTTTTTGCGAAAAGAATTTTTTTGGAGAATAATATTGAAATCTAAAAAAGTATAAAATCGTTTACATGAAATATAAAATCGCTTGCACAGCCTCTTGCTTCTTAATGCAAAATTCTAATTTATTACTTATTCGTAATTCTGACAGTTGTTTTCGTTTTTTTCTCTATTTTAATTTGTTGTCATAAACTCTTAAAAAAGGTGATTTTAACTAGGTCCAATCAAATGCATTTTGTATTAAATGTACAATAAGCGTAAAAAAAACGAAAAAAAAACGGTGACCTATAATAATTTTGATCGTATTTTCTCGTTGTTAGAAAGTTTAATAATAAGGAATTTAGGATGTTTAATAATAAGGATAAACTATAGTGTTGCCAACTTTTGTCTGATTAAAAGGAATAATAGATAACCTAGTTAAAGAAAGAAGTTTATATTCTATCAATAGTTATTGAAATAAAAATTAAGGATTTAAATGCAAATTTCAAATGTAATATTCCCACTGATATGATAATTTCCATTTACTGTGATAATCCATAATTTTTTAAAATTATTTTTCAATAAAAAATTTTGTTGCTTATTTAACCGGGGCTCATATAACTAAATAGATTGAAGAAGCTTTAATGCCTTTGGTATTTTCATAAACTCTGAAGGTAATGAAACAACAGCACATTCGAATGTTCTTCAAATTAATCATAGAATAAAAATGTTGAAAAAATAATTGAAGCAAAATTTTAACTCTAAGATATATACTTATGTTATTAGTATGTTTTCGTATCTATGTTAATTTCGTCATTTTTCTTGCTTAAAGTGGTGACTGGCAATTTCGACGAAAATTTCAAATTTTTATTTTATTGGGATTGTCTATATTAAACTTATTATTATTGTCTATACTAAATTTTTGTTCATTAGCTTTCTATATCTTCTTAAACTTTATTTCTCCAATCTTCAGAATCGAAGTTGTAGTTGTTTTTTCTCTTGCTTGCAAACGAAACAGAATAGCAATCACATACTTTAAATGCGTTTTTAGATAAACGCTGATTTTGTGAAAATCTCTTTACGCTAATACAAATTACAAAAAAAGTTTAATAAAGAATACCTTGAAACTTTGTATGTAAATTTTATGAAACGTTAGCTATATTTTGCCTTAAAAATTAAGGTCTAAGTGGGAAATTATTATTTTTTATCATGATTCTAGTAAGAATGTTTCTAATTTTTATTTGAAAAATCAATACTGAAGAAAATACTTATTTCTATTTCGTTGTATATTTGAGATTTTTTTAAAGATTTTAGTTAGTTTGAAACACTGAGATACGATATTGAATTACATGTTCGAAACACAGATATTCGAAATACAGATTCAGAATATTCGAAACTCAGATAAGATATTGATCTAGGAAAGAATTATTTTGATATTTATGCATTGCAATTAATGGTACAGCTGTTGGTGTGACATAACTTTGTAGTTTTTATAATTCAAATTTGTCCTTATTTTTAAAAAAAAAAAATATTTTGAAAATTTCGAAGTTTACTTTATTAGGACTCCTTCTTACCGAAAATAAAAGTTTCGAAAAAATTGTGCCGAACCCAGTTGGATATCCTAAATAGATAAATATTATTAAGCAATTACAGTTGAATTATTGATATAGAGAAAAATGTTGGTTATTAAGGATAACAAAAAAGCTCAATACTTACAAGTTTCATCTTGATTTAAAAGTGTAAGTCCAACTCCAAAGCAATGGAAAGTCAGTGTTTGATTTAAGATTTTTCGACTTTTATACTCAATACTTCCCCCCTTTTTTCTTCCCATCTTTATTAAGTTTGGAATTACAAAATTCGAACATCTTCAAGGTATTTCAAGGCCGATTTTTCGTCCTTTGATCGAATAAATTTTACGCCGTATTACAATTTTTTTATAAATGTAATAGCTTCGTACGCCTTGTTTGATTTCTAATCTGAAGGACGCAAACCATCTCTTGGAGTTGTGGGCTTTGCCTGGCCCTGCTCGCCCTTGCCCAGGGCGATTTTGGGAAACAACGTGTATTTAAAAATGTCTCAAATTCAGCATCTCCCTTATCTTTGCAAAGAAAAAAAATTACTGTTATGTTTTAATTTGTGCCGAAAGTCAAAGACTTTATTCAAAATCTAGACAAAGGTTTGATAATACATATTTTATTTTCTACATTTACATTTGATTGATGTCTTTATTGTCTATTCTAACAAAGTTCCACGAGTTATAGATTTAAAATTGTCCTTTGCTATCATTTTGAAAACAATTACTGTGTGTGCTCCATCTTTGTTTTAAATTGTCAGTAATTATAGTGCAGGCGTTTTTAACACTGTAAAGCGTGGTCGCGATTAACATCGAGATTAATAACTTCGCTTTATTTTTTTATAGTATTACTTACGATTCCGTAATTGGCAACAGCTACTGTTTTGAGTGTTTATCATTGTGTTATGTAATACCGAAGAGAAAAAAAGAGATGGAATGAAAAATGTCAGTATTTTTTAGAGAGTTTAATATTGTTTAGAGAGACTGGGAAACGTTTAGTAAAATTCAATACTTGAGAGACTCTGCAGCTTTGAGAAATGTAGTTAGGTGTGACATTTGGTATGTTGGATATTGCCTAATTTTGACTTTGAATTGCTTTTTCGAAATTGTTTTTTTCATTTATTTCGCGTTAAACAATTGCAATGGTATTGAAAGAGATATTTTAATTAAAATGGTTCTTAATTAAAGAGCATAAAAAATGTTTTGGGGGAAAATTAGTAAGCAAAAAATAGAATAGAAATTACATATTAGCTGCGAACTTGCTGAACTCTAATTAATTACATTAGTTAAATATTCATCATACTCCAAATAATGACATTAGTTGAATACTCGTAACACTCCAGTTAATTATATTAGACCCGTTATACTTCAATTAATGTGTTAGTAGCTGAATACCCGGTATACTCCAATTAATTATATTAACCGAATACCTATACTCCAATTAATGTCATTAGCTGAATACCTGGTATGCTCCAATTAATGATATTAACTGAATACCCGTTATACTCCAATTAATGTTATTAGCTGAATACCTGGTATACTCCAATTAATTATATTAACTGAATACCCGTTATACTCCAATTAATGTTATTAGCTTTATACCCGGCACACTCCAATTAATTATATTAATTAAATGCTAACCGACTAGCATTAAATAAAGTTTAAAAAAATATTTATTAAAAGTTATTTTTTGCATGGAATTATCTTTGGATAAACGAATTTTATAATTGTGTGTAAAAAGTTTTCAATACGCTTAAGAAGTTCTCGAGATCTAGGGAAATACGTAAAAAGTGAAATTAACATTAAGGGGTTCAAACTTTGGAAAGCTCTCCTGACCAAACTATTGCAACCATTTTTCCCAGATTCCAGAATATTAACGGATTAGAAATCCGAATCCGTTTAAAAAAAAGGCAGGTTTATTTAGAGAAAGTACGTGTTTGTGTCTGATTTAGTAACTTAAAATATCGTTTGCACTGATTAACATATTTGAGGTCACCCCCTCAAAGCATTAGGATTGTGTCCTAGAACGTGAAGATCTGATCATCAGATCAAAAATTGTTCAGGGTGGCCAAATTTGATTTAATATCTAAGTTTTGTGCTATAATTAAAAATATGTATTAAAAATATGAGACCAACACTGTCTACTTGCACCAAAACGGAGGAAATGTTATCTGGTATTTTAAATTCAGTGCAGAATTTAAAAAGAAAAAAAGAACTTTGATTTCAGGTTTTTGCTTAAGTAAATGAAAAAGTTTTATTTAATGTATAGATGACGCATAGATGATGCTTTTCATACCATATGTAAATTGAACATGAAATAAAGCATTCGAAAATTTAACAATTGTTGTAAAAAAATTAACAAATTTATTGAACAGGAAAAGCAAATTAAAAAAACATTGTTTTTTCTTATAGATTTCATTTGAGCCGCGATGGCTCAGGGGATAGAGCGTTCCCCTTTCAATGAAGCGAACCGGGTTCGAATCCCAGTCGATATGAATTCCGCATCCGGCTTGCACCGACCACAGTGCTGACGTGAAATATCCTCAGTGGCAGACGGATCATGGGTTAGAGTCCCGTTGCTGTCAAGATGACCGTGGGAGGCTCTCGTGGTCTTCCTCTCCATGTAACGCAAATGCGGGTTAGCTCCTTCAAGAAGTTTTTCACGAAGGCAAATTTCTCCCGATACTTAATCCAGGAGTTCCCTTGTCTTCTGGATTGGGTTCAAAATTACAAGGCTACGGAGTTGTACATTAGTAGTCGTTAACCCATAAAGTTGGGTCGGCTGTTCTGCGTGGGTTATAATTATAATTATAGATTTCATTTCGGTCTCTAGGGTATCGGGAACTGGTCCCGCAAACATTATCTGTTATTATAAATTCTTTACTAAACTTATTATGTTGCGCAATTGAGGATTTAAAAATGTTTGATCGGTCTTCGCTTCATTGGTATGGAAGGGGTGAAAGTACAAAAGAAAGCAATGATTCGAAGTGGCCTTCGATTTCCGCTCAAATCAACATGATTACAATCACCTTGCAACCTTGAAAGGAAGAAGTCTGGGCTTGACCACGCCCTGACCTACTTGAAGATCTGAATTTCCTGAAGGGCGAAAAATATTTTCTAAAAAATACCGTTATGCACATGACACTATTGTGGTGACATTTTTTTCTCTTCCACACAGAAGTTTGTTTACATTTCAATTCATTCGCGCGTTTCATTTCCTTGTTAATAATTTTTACATTCTAAAAAGTTTTAGCATTCCATCTGCTTTTGGCTTTAAAGTTTATCAAGGAAAATTAATAAGTAACTTATTTTATTTTCAATTATAATTTATTGGATTTCTTTGATTTGTTAATTTTTATAAGTTATTTTAATTTTCAAATTAATCTATTACTGGCTTATCAAATCACTTATAAGACCGAATTTTCTCCGTTTTGAACGCTTCGAAATATAAATTACCTAAAGTGTAGAATATCATTTTAAAGGTATAAACTTTTCATCTAAAAATTGTTCTACGGTGCAAAATTTTTTATAATAAAATTTTTTTAATTTTTAGATTTCTATTTTAATGAAAAATAGTTTTTCTTTTAAATTGCGTTTCAGAAATTTTAAAAATAAAATCATTCGATGCAAACATACGTATTTGCACTTATTTACGTTACTCTCGAACTAAAATATAGATAAATAATTTTTAAACTTCATTACAGCGTTTATTTTCATCATTATAAAGGGATTTTTGATACCTATAATATGTTTATAGGTTTTTATGAAGCTAAATGGACAGTGATTCAATACTTACTATTAGACATATAATTATTTGAAACAAATACCGTTGGATTTTTAGAATTATTTCTGGCTTCAATTTACAGGTCATCGTCGGTTCGTGCATGTTTCTTTCTTTACAATAATTCTTCAAACATGATACTGTTTTGCCATGTTCATAGCTTTATCCCTCATATAATGAACCTGACATTGTTAACTTCATTAAATGATAAAAAAAATAAGAGGCAGGCCACGTTATCAAAATGGATGGATATCGTACCATAAAAAGAGTTTTCAATGCCAGACTAGTTGGCATACAAAAAAGAGGCAGCCCGAATTTGAGATGGCCTAGAAAAAGACTTTTTGGTCTTAAAAACTAAAAACTTTAAAACGCTAGCAGGGAAAAGGATAGCCTGGAAAGACTTCTTGAAAATGCAAAGGCCCACCCTGAGCTGTCGAGCCATTGATGATGATGATGCTCATATTGGGAATGTAAACTTATAAAACAAGGATAAGTTACAATAATCAAACATGGTCCTTAATTTAGCAGTCGAAGAGCTTCGTAGGATGGGACAAATTTAAAAGTGCTCTTCAGGAGCTTATGTAGAGATGGACAAAACCTTTAGCTTTGTTATACTCTTTTCTTTTTTGGTGTCAAACACAGTTTATAATACCATTCTATTTTATTGTTTATGTAATATGTCAGTTCACTTTCTTATATGGGGTCTAGTTTGGCGAATTATTTATAACACATCTAGTGCATTGAACTTTTAAGCATCACATTGCTAGATTGAGTAATGAAATATTCTACAGCTAAAAAGAAAGGAAATTTTCTTAAAATTTGGAAATTTAGAACTGATTAATTGTATTACTTAACAAATTTTTTAAGAAATTATGTGGAACGTCGTGTCATTTATTTTCCAAATATTGCAGCTTTGATTTATTTTTNCTAAATCTTGTTTTTTTTTTTTTTTTTTTTAAACTATGTAACTGTTGGTATTTTGCAGCTTTGATTGCAGCTTTGATTTATGTTTTCTTTTTTTAAAACAAAAATATGTAACTCTTGATATTTTTTACTTTTAAAATTATTTTTAACTTGACTTAGAATTACTGAATATTTTGTGGATACATAATAAGAAATAAAATCTTAAAAAAAATATTCTAAACGTTTTTGTTATGAGGAATCGAATTTTAAAAAAGTCAGATATTTAATCAGATTTTTCAGGGACTATTTGATCGATTTCGTTCAAATTTCGTATTTTGTCAGATAAAATTACGTTCTTTAAAATAGTGTAAAAATTTTTATTCTTTGCAATTCAAAATTTCTTAAATTATAACTAAATAAAATAATAAATGATCAACAAAAACTATTTTATGCATGATAAACACATTTAATAATTGTGTACAGTAAATTCGCTTAAAGATTTCTTGAAAAATGGCGAAATTCACAAAAAGTAAAATTAGCATTAAGAGGTGTAAACTTTCGACAGCTTTCTTAAATTATTAAGAACGTATTTCCCAGATTTCGGCTATCCCATATATTTTGAAGGTAAAAAATCCAAATACGTCAAAAAAA